TTGTGCCAAGGTGCCTGCAGATAACTTAGGAACAAGAACAGGATGAGCTCTGAGCTGTCCCACAGCAGGCCTAGAGCTGGAGTGACTCTGGAAGGGAACACTGAGGGCAGCCACCACATTCTCTGTTTTACTGCACATTACAAATGTTTAGGGAACTCCAGCTATTACAGACTACAATGTAAATAAGAGTCCAAATTTATCCCTTCATTTCATAAAACATAATCAATTCCCAAGTACTGAACTGGGAAATACAGTGCTGAAAAATGTGAAAGGCTTGCAATCTGTCAAACTGAAAAATGACTTTTCTGCAAAGCAAATGCTTTAAGGACAGCCCATCCATGTCTCCTATTGACCGTTAAATCTACATATCAATGTCCAACTGAGGTGACAATACAATTCCAACTCTCTGCCAAGGCTAAATTAACTAAGCTCTCACTTTCATACCAGCACAATTCCTTGCACCTCCTGACTCTGGCCTTAGCCCCAGCTCCACACAGACTCCCAAATCCCCCCAAAATGAACCCATGGTGAGAAAACCACCTTTTCTCATGCTAACAACTTTATTGTAAAAACATCTTCAGAGGCCGTACTCGAGGTCTCAGGGAAAAGTAAACCACTGGAGTGCTTAATAGCAGGGCAGTGCATTAACTCATTCACACCCAGACAGCCTGGCCAAACAAGGAGGAGTTTCCTCCCCTCTTTTCCTGATTTATATTTTCACAGCTGTCAGGGAGGAGAGCACAGAGTGATTTATGTAAACCATGAGATTAGGCTGAAATCCTCGGTGTGGATCCCACCTCCTTCCCTCCTGACACACTGGCACTGAAAGCACAGGCACTTCACTACAAAGGTTATTTTCCCAAAGGTTAAACTGGTTGCTGTTTGCACCAGGGTCCACGTTATAATGCAGGGCACGGTACAACCAAAGGAGGAAATTCTCATTCTGACATTTTGGTGTTCACAGCTTTAGCTCCTGGTGAGGCAGCACCTGGAGGTGTGCCTGGGGCAGGACAGGTGTGAGGAGCCACCTCCTCTCTCTTAGCTGACACTAGACACTAAGGCAGGCTACAGAGGGAAGAGATGAGAAAACTGCACATTTCCAAAAGCTCAACAGAAAAAAAAAATCTCAGAATTCAGATATTATTATTATTATTCTTCCACTGGTCTGTTCTGTGTCTCACAGGAAATGACAAGTGACTGTACAAAACATTTCAAATCCACAGAGGTAATTCAGTAATCCTGTCTTGTCTCAAAATTTCCAAATCTTAAAAGCCATTCCTGAGGAAACAACATATTCCAAGTGAAGCTGAAACATGGCTACAATAGGTCTGAGGGACCTTGTAGCAAGCCAGGGCAGAAAACAAAATTCATGCATGCTGGTTGGTCCAATTTCATCTGGAAATTTGAAATAAAAAACAGAGCTCCCTTTCCCTGAAAGTCACTTTAGGATTACTGTGAAAGGGAAATTGAAGAGCCAATGATTGAAAGTAAAACATCTGGGGCCCCACCACCAGCACTGACTGCTCCTCCAGCAGTCTGAAACAGCAATATGGAAAAGTATTGTTTGTCCACAAAACTACTCCCCACATCTCCTTCAAACATCACCAATCTGGTTCCAAAAAGGATAAATTTAAATTTGTGCTCTCTCCTACACAAGAAAATGTGATTTTTCTACAAGAACAGTCCAACATGGGCTGTTGGGCTAAGAAGGCTGATCTAATAGCTGAGCACAACTGGAACATACCTTCAGCAGAACTGTTCCCACCCTGCTGGAAGGACACAGTGGCCTTTTCATTCCCAGCACTGTTCCCACCACCACTCACCACAGTAAGAAGGTTCTCACTGAGAGCTCTGTCCCCATAATTGGGCCTGAACACGTTACCTGGAGCCCATTACCCATCAATTAATGCCTGCACGCAATCACTGGGATCCCTGAGCCGGGCTCAGCCCCACCAAGGGGCACCAAAGGGTTAAAATCCCATGTCAAACACAAGTCCTGGCTCTGGACCAGAAGGGACATGGGAACCAGGGCAGCTGAGTTATAAAGGCCTTATTGTAGCAGCCCACTGGATTGGAAATGACTTGTAGGCCTAATGAAACAAAACTTTGGCAGTAAAACAGAATGAAAGGAATGAGACAATAAAAGAGAGGAACAAAGGGAGCAGAGTTGTTTCAGCTTAGGAAAATAAGCTCACTTTGTTGTTGGGAAAAGCCAAAGCCGATTAGGATAAACCAATGACTAGGCATAAGTCTTCCAAACTAATTACACAGTTGGCCATGTGAAGTGGAATTGCACAAGCAAGGCTGGGCTGCTCTGCAGGAGCCCTGTGCAGGGAGCAGCACCTGGGCACACCTGAGCCCTGCCTGCCCCGGGCACTGCTGCAGCCCCAGGGCCAGGACCATCACTGTGAGCAATCTTACAAGCCAAGCTTCAGGAATTGTCACTGCCACACGCTTTGGTGCTCTATCGTCAGGCACTTTCACTGGTGGGTTTACTAATTAAATATTATATTATTACTGTCACTATTTACAGTGGGTTTACTACAGCTTTTCCTTTTCTTGGAGACAAAGGTTCTGGCACTGACTTTTCAAAAAGCTGCAGTTTCAAATTCAGCACTTTACCCCTTCCTGCCAACTCCAGTTCCACAAATGAGCCCACCTGGCCCCAGAGCTGGTGGTGGCTGCTGTCCCCACATCCTGTGTGCTGAGAGCCACCTCCAGTCCCCAAACCACCTCCCCTGGCTGCAGAGCTGCTCTGCACAGCGAGTACAGACAGGACTGCAGGAACTGCAATTTCTTCCAGGCTGATAAATAAGCTCAGCATTTCAAAGAGCAAATCATCTGAGATGCTCTTATCAAACACGGGCGGCTCCTCACACTTTAATTGTCTGATGCAATTTGCTTTATTTTAAGGAAGCTCTGAGCAAAGGCAGAGCTGGCCAGTGGATGTGGATCACTGATGGAGAGCCAGGCTGTGTGCTGAGCACAGGCCCTGCCTCACAGGGCTGCACCCCAGCAAGGAAATCCTGGAGAGGCAGGGAAGGGGGAAGGACAAGGACTGGCTGGTCCTGCAGCACCAGCCCTGGGTCCTGTGTCTGAACACAGCACCCCACTGTCTACAGCAGGTTAACAAGTCTTCTAATTCAGCTGAACCAAACTCCCCACTTCTAAGGGTCATTGACCACATCCTGACAACCAGAGCCTGAGGAGAATCACCCTAAAACACCCTGAAACCAAAGAGTCCCAGCTGACAAGGAGCAGTGCTGTGGGGAGAACCCCACACCTGCAGCAAGGTCAGGTCATGGTCACACAGCCAAGCAGCCTCTGCTCCAAGCAGCACCAGCTTCACACACTCTGAACAAGCTGGAGCAGGGGACTGTGACCCAGGTCACCTGCAGTGACAGGGCCCAAGCCCTGCCAGCCTGGCTCCTGCAGGAGCTCAGCCTCAGCAGGACAACCCCAGCTGTGCTCACCTGCCAATAGGCTCCTACCTTGACCCAAACCTGGGGGCAATTTTCACCTCCTTAAATTTTTTACCCTGCAAAATTAAGACACTTAAGGGAAAAAAACACTTGATTTTTCCAAAGTGCTGCCTCTGGGAAGGCAAACCTCTGCTAAGCTGTCTCAAGAATGGCAGAGCATGAAAGCAGAACCAAAGTGTCCCGAGTCCCCAGTCACAGCCTGGCTGCTGCATTCTCAGGGACTGTAAAACTGCAAGCATGAAACTACCAGATGGTGAAATTAAAAAGACTATATTAAGACAACATCCAGACAATATGCAAAGCACTTATATTGAAACTATTATTAACTTGAAAAATACAGGTTAGTGGAGTTCTGCAATTAGAAGTAACTACAGAAGAAACATCCAAAAGCTCATGTAATCCTTTAATAAAAGGCTCAGCAGGCTGTAAACATCCTGCCGGAATCGAAGATTATTATTGAAAATAAAATGACTGGTTTGCAAAACAACTATCAATCCAGCACAGGAACCATTTATAAACTCGCCTCCTCAGCCCTCAACGAAATCCTGCCTGGCTCAGGCTTTTCAGGGCAGACAAAGGAAACATAAACCAACTGCAAGGAACGGGAGCTGCTTTGCTCTGGGACACCCTGCTGTGTCCTCACGCAATCCTGCATTAAAGCACCAATTGCTGCACTCCAAAGGACAGGAACTGGGCTGGAATCCCTGGAGCTGGAACCCATGGAGCCCCCTGGCAGTGGGGCTGGCAGAGGGTGGTGCCACACACTGCTCTCAGAGCAGGCACTTTGTCACCCATGGCACTCCTGAACCATGGTCCAGAGGCCACGGGGACCCAGGGAGCTCCATGGAAGTCAGTGCCACCAAGCACCAGCCAAAGCCTGCACAGTGGGGAGGGAGCTCTTACATCACAGCAAAGACTATTCTGGCAAGGTTCACATCTCCTTCTCTGCATAAACTTGTTTGGTTTGGGGTTTTGGTCAGGGGTTCTTTTGCTGTGGGTTTTTTTTTTTGGTTGTTTTTTATTTTTCAATGACGCCAGCATTCTACACATACTTGCAGAAGGATTTTCTAGTAAGAAATGAAGTGGATATTCTAGTGACTTCCACATTGCTCTTGCTTTTCACGTGGTTCCTCCAGGCATTTTCACAAATTAATGAGCTCTCCAATACGTCTCTCTGCCCTTTTTGCCACTGGAATCGGGGCTAACAGAACGCTGATTTTATGGAGAAGACAACTGTGTAATCATTCAGCTAAGGGTCAGATTCTTCCTGAACAGGCACAGGTTCACCTCCCAGTGATGCTTTTTTCTTCAGTGGAAGTAAACAGTGTTGGGAATGTTGTACACACACAAGCAACAAACAGAAAAGGAATCCCAGAGGCTTCAAGAAATGACACGCAAAGGCCAAAACCTGGCCCTCCTTTGAGCTCAGTCCTCAATGCACTTTTGTTTTTCAAAACACACTTCAAAAAGAAAGGGAAGAAAGAACAACTATGTAGTGCTCATTTGGGCAGAACTTACCTTGCCAAACTGTTCAAAGTATTGCTTCACGTCTTCCACTACTGTATTAGCCGATAATCCACCTACAAATATTTTCTTTGTTCTTGTGACCATCTGTAAGAAATTACAAGACAAGCATATGGTTTAACCAGATTATTTCAAACAATATGTGGAAAAAAGAAATATTCTTCAGATCCCATCCCTAACCCAGATAATGAGAATACTTCTTTACAAAAGCAATTTCAATTCGATTTGATTAGATACTTCTTTCTCTGTCTTGTTTTGTTTTTATTTGAGAGATGGCTGAGTAAAGGCTCTCAATAACAACTCTAGCCCCCGGATATTTTTTTTTAATAAATGATTTTTATTGTGCTTCTCAATGCAAATAAAAGTGAAAAAGGAGTCCAAGCATTGTATCTTCATAGCCACTGTCTCAAAGCAGAGGTGCCTTTGCCCCTCCTTTTCCTACAGACAGGCTGAATGCTCCTTGGCAGGGAGAGACAATTGCATCAAATCCAAGTGATGTGTTATTAAGTTTCCACGGGTCAGTTTAACAGGAACTTGCACAGTTACTTTTAAAGTAATCAAATGATGAAAGACAGCCAGAGCTGCCAAGGCAGCATCCTCCAGCCACCACAGCCTGTGCCCATGGAATCACCATCCCCTCCAGGAACCTGTCTGTGCCCCCAGCCCAGGCCCATGGAATCACCATCCCCAGATCAGTCCCAGTCACACCTTACACACAGCTTCACTTTTTCTGTTTGGGTTTTTTTTTAAAGTTAGGAAGAAAAAGAGAGGAGGAAAAAAAAAAAAAGTGTAAAAATTCAATTATTTTTTTCCTGGCTGCAATCTAGGGCTCCAAAATTGAAGCCCAAGCATATATTTTTCTGTAGAAAATTGTCATTTACAAATAAAGAACTGGCTAAAGCCGACTTGTAACTAAAGGATTTTGCAGGGCTGTCAAGAGCCCTCTGCCTGCCAGCATCTGATTTAAGATCAGGCCAAGCTTCTGTTGTCATACAAAAGAGGGAGGAAAGCAATTATTCTAAAGCAGTATTTGAAATTATCATCATTTTTATATTTGACCAAGAAAGAAAGAAAAAGAGAGCTACTGCTTTTCGAAGATTGAAGGTTATAGGGAAAAAAAAAAACGACCACTTTGTTTCAATAGCTTCAGTCAAAGAAAATATTGGTAATGACAAGCAAATTCACAACATTTTAATGCCTAGAGATGCGTTGCGAGCTGGGAAATGGTTTCAGAAATCAGCTCTTTGGTACCGAAGCGAAGCACAAAATTAAGTCTGCTTTTACAATCCACATTTCCCTGAAGAGACTCTTCAATTGCTTTGTTCCCACCTTCCCCCCAGCACCAGAACAGAAAATGCACACCCTGATGTGCCTCTACAGCAGGGTCTGCTGCCTCCCTCCCACCTGTGGCAGAGGCAGCACGGCCTCACCTGGCCCAGGTAAGGAGCCCGGGCAGGGCGGAGGTGGGACATGGACAGGTGGGACAGGGGCAGGTGGGACATGGACAGGTGGGACATGGACAGGTGGGACACGGACACAGGGACATGGGCAGGTGGGACATGGACACAGGGACATGGAGGGACACGGGCAGGTGGGACATGGACACAGGGACATGGAGGGACACGGGCAGGTGGGACATGGACACAGGGACATGGAGGGACACGGGCAGGTGGGACATGGACACAGGGACATGGAGCAGGTGGGACCTGGAGGGACATGGACACAGGGACATGGGCAGGAGGGACAGGTGGCTGGGACATGGGCAGGTGGGACCTGGAGGGACATGGAGTGGGTGGGACATGGGCAGGTGGGGAGGTGGGACATGGAACACAGGCAGGTGGGACCATGGGCATAGGGATATGGAGCAGGTGGGACATGGGCAGGTGGGACCAGGAGCAGCAGGAGCAGCAGGGACCAGGAGCAGCAGGAGGGAGCAAGAGCAGGCTGCTCCCCCTGAGGTGAAGGGACAGCCCTCAGCACAGAGCCACGCTGGCCAGCCAGGCTCGTTTCTAGTGTTATCATCATCTCTGGGGCTCACAGCCCCTGCACAGGAGCTGCCCTGGCCCTTTCCCTCCCTGCCCCTCGGCCAGGTGAGCTGCTCCCCACACCTGGCAGCCACCACTGTGCAGCATCAGGAGCTGTGTGGCACTGGGAGCAGCTGGAAACAGCCCCTGAGCCCTGCTCCAACTGCACATCCTCGCTCAGCAGCCACACAGATGGGACAGGGCCAGGCTTCCCCAGGGAAAATGCAGAGCAGGTGGCTCTAGGAGCAGAGCAGGGCACTGGACACACAACCTGCACACCTGGGCACACCCTGCCACTCTGAACTCCTCCAGTCAAAGTCACTGAGGATCTCTGCCTTCTCCTGTGGGTAAATTCACAATCTGCTTTCTGGGGGTTGCTCACAACAGGGACACCCCAAAGCAATGGTGTCACGGGAGCCCTGGTGGGTTTGGACCCTGTGCCAGCTGCCCCACCTGCCCTCTCCTGGCTGCAACAGTGGGCTTTGGCTAATAGGAAGCAATTTGTGTGAATCAATCACAAGCCCATGTTTTATTAACAACCCCAAGAGGTCTGGGTCACTCTGAAACCACAATACTTGCAGCTCCGTGTCTTTGGATTTCATGTGCAGGGTAATATATCCACCCTGGCTGCTGCAGGCTCTGCACACCGTGGCTCCCAGAGGGTTTGCAGGGTCTGTGTACTGAAGGTGTCTCTCTCTCGCTGCAGAAGGACTCGAGGAGAGGCAGAGCTGAGCTGGTGTGAGCCCCTTTAATTGTGAGCATCACAGAACTGCTCTGTTTGTGTACGGTGCTGGTGCTGAGTTAATCAAAACACATGTGACTCCTCCTGCCAGGAGGCATTCAAGGTTACATTCTCTTTACTGGCTTGGCTTTTGAAAAATAGAATCGCCTTTGTGCTCTGAAACTGAGCAAACACTTCAGGAGGTGCAGGAGCAGGAAGGAAGCCTTCCCTGCTTTAGCCAGGCGAGTCTGCTCAGTTTATGCCTTTTGGTGCAAGGTTGTGGCTGTAATTAGATCAGTTTGGGCCGTATCAGGTAAATCTCCTCCAAACTACAGGCTGAAGATGCAGCCTCTGGGAACAAAAGTCTGGTCCCACTCAAACGTGTCAATACAAACGTGAGCTAAACCCAGCCTGGCCAATGAAATGAAGAAATGAGGTTTTACAGAGCTGGGGGCTCCAGCTCCAAACCCCTGAACGTCCCTCACACTCACACAGTGACGCTGCTCATCACCTTCTGTGGTTCTTCCTTCCCCACCAAAACTCTCTTATTATTCTGACTAGTAAAAATGAAAGAAGAGGATTTTAAGCTCATGAAATATTTTGCAGGATTCCCAGAATTCCAAAATCTCAAGCAGTAAGTATCCATCTTTTCTTCTAGATGAGTCAATGCCCTGTGTACATCCAACAAAGAAGAAGTTACACATTTAACTTCAGGGCAATGGCTTTCAGTACTATTTCCCAACCATTCTTTACACAGCCTTTCAGCTGTCCCCTGCCTCCAGTTCTAGTGCAGAGCTCCTGGCTCAGGATGGTGAGGGTGGAAAGGATGAGTGCTGACACCCAGCTGGCACAGACTGGAGCCCCAGTGTGCCACTGGCAGGCCATGCTGGGAAGTAAAATCCATGTAAAATCCCAAAGCAGGACACAGAGACACACACCCAGCACATGGGGCTTGAGGAACACCCTGGGAACCTGCGCTGAACCCAGTTCTGGCCCACTCCAGTGTGGCATTCACCACTTTGAGGCTTTGCATCCTCAACTTCTCAGTGTAGTGGAAGTGGACTAGAGTACTAATAGTGAACCTGCATCACAAATTGCTGAAATTAGCATTAATTTCAGATTAAGCTAATTATGCATATGTAACTGTTTTCCAGTGCACTCTCCTCTCTCTCCTACAACAGCCTGGGCAGGGGTGCACGTGTGTCCCAGCCTGTTCACCTCATCTGCAGTTTGGCATTCCATCATTTCTAGCGGATCCACCTTCTAAATAGGTTTATAATTGGAAAAACCAGCTTTGGTATCTGTGCTGAACTGCATTTTATACCCCATTGTGCTGTACATTCAAACTACAGCATTACTTCTAATTAAAAACAACAATAATTCATGTAACAGGGGAAGTGATCTTGTTAACAGAACTGCCAGGCTGCTTTGGCAGCGCACACACCATAAGAATACTCCAGGTTTTTTTTTTTTAGTTTTTTGCCTCTGGGATCCCCCTAGGAAGTTCCAAAAAGCTATTAAAAACTCAACTGAAATGTGATGCAAAGACAGGAGGAGAAAGGCAGCGTTTAGCGAAAGCTGCCAAGCTGTGTGTGCTCACAGGGAACAGCCAGAACCATCCTGCTCCAGGTGTTGCTGCACAGAGATGGAGGAGCTGAGCTGGGCTCTGTGCTGCACTGGAGCAGGGAGAGCAATCCCTCAGAGCAGCTGGCTTTAGGTGCCACATAGAGCACGCTCCAGGATTCAAAATAGGATTTCAGCAAGACTTAAACAGAGCAAATACCTTGTGCCTGACCCCGTGTAAGCTCCTGTCATCCTGTGAGAACTGCTCAGGCTATGGAAGGGACGAGGGAATGAAAGAGCCCTTTAATCCAAACACAGTCCCAGGGGGTAAATCAGCTCCTCTGATTCTGGGAAAGCACACATGGGTTGTGTTCTCCCAACTCATTCACAGCCCAAACCTGGTCCCTGCTGTATTCCTGGATTTTGGCTGCCTTGGGCTCTGCTGTTCCTGCTGGGAGGGTTTTGGTGCATTTCCCTCCCTGGTGGCTGTGGTATCAGCAGGAGGCAGAACACACAAACTGATTTTTCCAAGACAGATTGAACTGGCAGCAATTGCCAAAACCATCCCTGGAGTTTCACGAGCGAACCTGGCCAGGGGCCAAGCAAAGCCCTTCCTGGTCCATCTTCCCAGCTGCTGCTGGGCTGAATCCCAGGGTGAAGTCCCAGCCCCTCACTCACCTCCTGCAGGTACAGTCAGGTGATGGCAGCCTGTGCCACGGGCACAGCAGCCCCAGAAGGGGCTGTTCCCACAGGAAGGGTTTGCTGTCCAGCCTTGGTGT